AAGTAAGTCATGTCTGCACTCGAGACCCTGGATTACTGTACTCCAATCTCCAATCTGTACTCGAAATCCCTGAGATCGGGTAGGCGTGGCCGCATGCTTCAACTTAACCTGAAGTGTCTATGCTTCGATATTTTCATCTTGACACAATTGTTGTCGTGTCTCTGTCCAACACAGAACAAGATGACAGTTGTCCCAGACTGGAATATTCCACGAGTAACCAATTCCGTGCCATGTTCAAATGCCACGCCTACTCTGGCTCAGGGATAAGGAGTGTAACTACCAGTCTCTACCGAACTCAGTCTGAACTGTAGTTGCACCAACTGGCGCCAAATGAAATGAAATGAAAAACTCATGTGAGTAATGGGATCACTACTTTTTATGTCTAGTGATAGTGACGTTTTTCGCTTTTCCAATCACTAAGCATGCAGTGAAATTTCATGCGATAAGTTGGAAACCACTTGTAAAAGAATATTCTGGTCTGGAGTAAGTTAAAACTAATTCGGTCTTTATATTCATGTCATTTTCTCCAATTGCAAATAGCTAGAAAAAAGCGTTGTAAGCGTCGCTCGTCGTTGTGGTATGGTCAACGTGCGACATAATGTCTCGACCTAGAGGTTCTATATTTTGGCATACGCTGCGCATATGCCAGGCATAAAGAACATCCGTCTAGACGAAAGAAAGCAGTGTGAAATGTGCACGAACTCCGAAAGGTCAGTATATAGTCATGGAAAACGGTTTTAGAAGTAGTTAATGCACTCACAATACAAGGCCCCTGATTTTAGGAAAGAAAACCTCCTATATAGACTGAACTGATTGGTCTTGATGACAAATAATGGAGTTCCCAGAGCTCTTCCCTCCAAGAGACACGATATTTTTGCAAACTCCTGCCAGTATAGCGTAAAATGACGCGACGACATTGTACGCAGGTAATGATACCAGTTCCATTTCAATCGGTCACGTAACACAGAGAGCTTGAACAACGAAATAAACGGGTGAGTTCTGGCAATGACCAGTACCCCTGGAATGAACCACTGTATCTCAGAAGATTATATATCCTAAAAGCGTTTGAGAGCAACCTTGCTCTATAACAAGACTCATGTTGCCAGTCGCTTCCTTCATGAATATGGGGACTTTAGCGGAAACTTGGCCGATTCGATCTGATAGGTGAAACGCGATCTTTCTACTGCTGAGCTGAGTCCAATCAACTAATGGCTGAACACTGTATACAAGGAAATGCTCCAATAAATTTCAGATATTATGGTCCCGGAGAAACCAAATTTTTTCTCCCTTCGCAAGTTCTCCGCATTCAACGACAAGTCTACCATAAATGGCCGATGAACAGTTTGATGCGTTTATACACTGATCCTAAGCTTTAAAACTTCGGGGAGTACTTTAGCTTGCAAGGGGCTTTAAAACAGTTCGGGGAGCATTTTAGCTCGCAAGGAAAAGGATTGAACGCTTTGTGCTACGTGAAAAAATGGTACCATTTGATAAAGTATCATATCGTGCTTCATCAGTAGATCAAGGAATGTTTGCAATGCCCTTGACCGAGGGGAAACAGCGGTGAGCAGCCGATGTGTTCGTACCCCACTGTCCTTAACCGCATACCAGTCCCTTACCCTGAGAACGAAATAATTCAGCAAATTGCGCTGATGTGCATGTGTACCAAAATAAAATAGTACCAGTCGGATCGCCCAGCTGTCGCCGGGCGCTCCTCCTTCTGTGACATGGCCCGGCTTCGCCGGGCGGGCGCGGATTGGCTGCGTACTAAGTTACGGATCGTTAACCAAACACACAGTGTCGAAGGACCATGTTTGTAATCCAGCAAGAGCTGAAAAGCAGCGCCCGTTTTGCCAAGAGGCAGAGGCAGCAGCAGCGAACGCACGCATAAGGAGGAGCGTCGGCGTTAGCCAGCGATCCGACTGTACGTTCACAACTTACAACGGAATATATCCGACTGGTAATCGTTTGCACACTTTACACACGGGAATAGAGCAGCATGTTAGATTAGCCGCTGATGGGTCCTACTGATTCATATATCCCCCTCTCTTGCTTTGGAATGCACTCCCGCATTCAGCAGTGGAACACTTTGAACCGTCCCACACCCTTTATCACCTCTCGGATCCAACGTTCCACTGTTGCCGTAACCTGCGTTACGAATTTGGTGACCTCTCCTTCCGAGGCCCCTTATCGGATCTTATCAACTGTTATCACTTTCTGTCACCCGCCAATAATGTTCCCGTCCCACACCCTATATCACCTCTCGGATCCAAGGTCCCACTGTTGCCGTAACCTGCGTTACGAATTTGGTGACCCTCCCCTTCTGAGGCCTCTTATCAGATCTTATCAGCTGATATCCTTCCCTGTCACCCACCAATAATGTTCCCGTCTCAGCCCCTATACACTGCTTGCAACCAACTTCCTACACAACTGTCTGTCTGTCCTGTGTGTGTCTGTCTGTCACGAAATTCACAGCAACTGGGACGGTCGCTATGAATTTCGTGACAGGCAGACACACACAGATAGACAGACATACTTAGCGGATTATATATAGTAGGATAAATGATCCGCAACGAAAGGTTAAGAAGAACCTAGGGAGGGAGCGAAGATGAACCCACAGCGCGAGACAAACTCAGTTAGCAAATCCACCTTAAATCCATCATATCCATCATAACTCATTTCTCTACGTCGGAGTATGGTGCTGTCCCGGAGTCTCATTACTTATCTGAATGTGTAATAACAATGTGAAACTCCAAAAATTTATTCCAAAAAACTCAAAAGACAGCAAAAGTCTCAAAAGTTTTTAAAATATCTTGCGATATTCTGGAATCTGCCGGGATATTTGGGCCTGACGAAGGTGCTACGCACCGAAATATTGCAAGATAAGATATTTTAAAAAACTTTTGAGACTTTTGCTCTTTTGAGTTTTTTGGAATAAATTTTCGGAGTTTCACATTGTTATAACACATTCGTATCTATAAATCAGCTGGTATTGCTAAATAACATAGTCTAATAACAATAACATAGTAAATGGTTTGAACTTCTCACCTCGTTCGAGCACCGATTGTATAGTATTATGCATAACAATTTTCGTCTCTTCTACTTCTTCCTAAAAATAATGTTTAAATGGGGAAAAATTGCGAGGGATGCTCTCATAGTGACTATCATAACATTTCATGAAACTGCGAACTACAGTACCTGAACTCGCGTCATAGGATCGGCCTCTCGCGGATTCTGCCATTTTGCGAGCAACTCCGGTAGACCTGTATACAAACAGTCTTTTTCGCTCTTGATCTGTGCCTGAAAAGCAACTTGCAATCACGAGAACAAGATTGTTTCCTCTTGTAGAAAGGGAAACCTTCCACAAGATAACTCTCTGCAAAGAGGCTACAAATTGTGTTGGTAATACTAATAA